GTCATTGACAAAGTAAAATATAAGACCCGTTTAGAACACACAAGTGGAGTGAAATCTGTCACATATGCAAGAAATGAGTTGGTTTGTTTTCGACTCATATTCTTGACGAATTTACATCTTTACCTGTTACAACAAACACTGCTTTTCGTCTGCAATAAATTTGTCTCTGGTCCTTCTGCGGAGGTTGGAGTTGTTGTTGAAAATAGGCTGAGGAGTAGAATTCACCGATGATTCAGTTCAAGCCGTAAAATATCCTTTTCTATTGACGGGCGCACCTGACGAATTTACTTCTTCAGCAATTACGAACGTTGTCAGGTTCGATGCTAGTGAAGATGAGAAACGGCTCACGAGCGTTCGGCTGACAGGTGACGACTTCTATCATATTTTAAAGCTGTGGAATACTTTCATAACACCCATCGGTCGATCAGCCGTGTCAGTGTCATCCGAAAGTTTATCCGAAATGCGTTTTTAGTTCACGTGGTAAGAATGCACAATTTCAGGTTACGTTGACTGAGTTTTCGCTCTCTTGGAGGTAAGAATTGCCTCCATTTCAGTGTAGCCATTGATACGGTCAGCACAGCACTTTTCCCGGTCTTCCATGTGGGCTCTATCGCATATTCCGTTTGCCAGGCAGAGGCCACTTTTTCTATCTATTGGTTGAGAGGATCTTGTTCTGCACAGTTGCCCAGATAAGCGATGCATGGTCGAATGAAAGCTGGTGTCTTAATTATCTTACGCCTTGGCCTTGCTCTTTTCCATTGCAAAATCCATATTCGAAATTGCAAATCTCTAATGAATAAATTTAGAGGTCTTCCTCAAGCTCTAATACCGAATGCGAAACCGGTGCAGGGCACGTTCCATAGTGGCCTTTAAGAAGAGCAGCCAATCTCAGACCTTTTGAAGGAACCTGAATTCAAATATCTGATTAACATAGATTATTTCAAATGAAGCGGAGAGCTTGTCTGTCAAAAGCCATTCCCTGGAGTTTGGCCTCAAGTAAGCCAAACTCCTGCCTTCCAAGCAAGGCGTGTTGTGGTGTTTCTTAGATAATCACATTGAGCCGTTTGGAGTGGCAGCGCGTCTCTAGCTCTTGGTAGACATCGCATCCGCAGACTTTCCACTGTTTTAAGGCATCGGTGGCTGTGTCATAGAAAAAATTATTTTTGTCTCAAAACAAATCTACTTATGCTTTGTTCGGTTTCAATGCCCACGTCTGCAGTGTCTTGTCTCCCACACAATGAGCCCACAGTCTAGAGTTAACGGTTTATGCTCAATCAGTATAACAAAACCAAAAAAGTTTCCTAATCCTCACGTCTACTGAGGTCACTTGTACCCGGAAAGAATGGAGCCACTCCTGACGTGGTTTCGCCACTTAACCATCGAAGTTGGCGATGCTGTATGCAGTCCCAAGTAAAGAGCAAGCGATGACCGAGGTAAGAGGTAGTGAACCAAGGCAAAGAGGGAAGCACGTTTTCTACCAAGTCGCTGAGATAACTGCAGCTTATTATGATGTGAAAACTGCCAGAGAAGATTGCATAAGCAGTCGAGCAATGAAATATTTTTGTCTGTAAAATAATTCCGTTTGTAAGAATGGCCTTCAGATTGCAAACATGAAAATAAAGACACGAGTCCATTTCAAATGATAGCCTATTACTACTTTTGATGATGAACAGAACAGAGAATTCAAACCACATTAGAAAAGGAAATTTAAAATGAGCAATACTGAACGTTATCCATGATGCTCGAACTGCAAATATCAATAACGACAAGTCGGCATCGTTGAATAAATAATACCAGTCATAAAAAGACGTTCTAACTATGGTGCATATGATCATGATCATATGAAAACAGACATCTGGCGGCGGCATCGAACCCATATTTATGATCTGTCTTAGTTTATGACTGCATATGCCTGCTTGTGATGCTCTTCGTGCTTCAAATTCGCCCAATTCTGACAGGACGCGTCGGCAGCTGCTACCGGTGCCTGCTGGATGTTTTGCATAGGTCACCCATTTGCCTCTCGTTCCATTTCAG